ACCAGAACTGGCTTCAGCATGCAACAATCCAACACCACACACCATCTCTCCTGCCCTGAAGGACTGTTATGACAGATGGAGCCCAAAGTCATGGACTAAATGAACTCAATGAACATTTTATAGGGATGGCCCATAGACTAAGGGAATGATATCTGTGTTTATATATTAAAAGACAGGAAAAGTGGTAGTGATTAATTGGGATGTATTGGAAAGTGTGGGATCTGGGCATGACGTAGATGGTACAGAATAAGGGGTGGATACTGCCCTGGTTTCGGCTGGGATAGAGTTAATTTCCTTCCTGGTAGCTGGTACAGTGCTGGGTTTTGGATTTAGGGTGAGAACAATGTGATAACACACCCATGTTTTAGTTGTTGCTAAGCAGTGCTTACACCAGGCAAGGACTTTTCAGCTCCTCATGCCCTGCTAGCAAGAAGCTGGGAGGGGGCACAGCCAGGACAGCTGACCCAAACTGGCCAAAGGGATATTCCATACCCTGTGACGTCATGCTCAGTATATAAACTGGGAGGAGTTGGCCAGAGGGCAGCATCGCTGCTCGGGGACTGGCTGGGCATTGGTCGGTGGGTGGTGAGTGGTTGCATCACTTGTTTTTCCTGAGTTTTGTTCCTCTCTCTCTTGTTGTTTTCCTTTTCATTACAATGTCTTTAAAATTATTATCGTAATTATTATATTTAAATTATTAACCTGTCTTTATCTCACCCACAACAACCCACAACTTTTCCTACTTTTGCTCTTCGATTCTCTCCCCCATCCCATGGGGGTTGGGGAGGGTGAGCGCGCGGCTGTGCGGCGCTTGGTTGCCGTCTGGGGTTAAAGGATGACAATCAGGTAAATCAACCCCTCTCAGAAACCATCTTAGAGTGTACTTTGTGCTGCAAGTATTATTAACAATGTGTCAATATAGATCTAGTTGGAGTAAACAAGCACAACAGTTCTGCAAAACAAACTTTTAAGAAGCTTGCTTCTAGCTCTGGTGCTATGAGGCCACTTCTGCTTGGAGCCATGGATCCTTTCAAGCGGGAATCAGGCAGTCTGCATGTGCCTGGTTTTATTTCCAACCAGGTTAGGGAAGGGGGTTTGAGATAGCTCAAGGTCAGCTTCATCACTGCGTGAGGCCCCTTGGTGTGGCTGAAACCGCTTTACAGATAATGTGCCCGCACGCAGCACAGAGACTTTTGGGAAGAAACTGTATCACCACCTAAGCGTGTTCCCTCTTTGTCTCAATTCACATGCTCCACCCATCACCCTTCGTTTTGCCGGCACAGAACCTTGTGACTCTGATAATAGACACTGCAGTAGGTGTGCCCTGACCTTGAATTCCTATTCATGATGCCTCAGGTGGCAAAGGAAAAAATCACATTGCAAGGCTCCCATTTTTCACTATAACCTATGGGATTTTTTTTTTCCCTTGCAATGACTTGCATATCCTTTGCTGGATTTGAATACAGATTTTGTCACTCTGGGTTTTTTCTCTGCTTTCACTGATCAGCTTGGACAGGTATACTTTCAGGCATACAGCTTATGTTTCTGTAGTTACAATCTGAATTCACCATTTTTGTGTATCGAATTTGTCACCTAGACGTCTCCGTTCATGATTACTGGAGACACTCAAGGGTCTAAATTTGACCAAAAATTTTATTTCTTTGCTCAATTATTTGTACTTACTTATAAAAGCACAGACCAACCCAAGGCCATTTTGGGATGTTTTGGTCTTATCTTGCTCTGGAATTGAAATACTGTTTTGTGAGAGAGAGCTTGCTAGAATACTAAAAAGATGACTGCTTTTTGTAGGAATCATCAGCATTTAGTAGTTGGCCTGTCGTATTTCAAGTGTTCCTCAGTCTTATCCAACAGATAGGATGACTTTATTGGAAAAAACAAGTAAAAGCAACGGAAAGAGGAAATTGAGTTAGTGTCTGGCATAGGTTATAGAAAATTGTTTGTACAGATCCAGGGGGAATAATCTTACTTATTCATTTTCCAGTCATGTCATTGCCAAACTTCCATTCACGACCACAACCTAGAATTAATGAGTTGGATGAGGCACACGCTATTTCTCAGAAGCTCGTTAAAGGAAAACCGATGTTTGATGAAGCCACAGGCAAGCCCTGGAGGCCAGCTGCATAGCCAGCGCAGGCTCTTCACAGCTCTAGGCTAGCTAAGGAAGAGGTGAGGCTGTTGGCTGCCTTGGGTAACAGGCTGACTGTCACCACCGCCCACATGGCAGCTAGTTACAACCCCCAGAGCTGTTGGCAGAGGACCATGCCTGAACACCTCCACCCGGGTTCAGGCCACCTTTGCTGGCATGAGCTAAGCCGAGCCCCCAGACTTTGCATTGAAGTGAGTGCTGCCCATTTGCTCGTGCCTCCTGCAGCTGCCAAGGCCACAACATCCACACTCCAGGCAGGAGCGTGTACCCGAGGCTGGCTCAGGCTCCAAACAGCTTTTGCACTGACAAGCATCACATGAACATTTTTTCTACTGTGGTATGTTGGCAGCAGGGGGGAATTAGCTAAGAGGAGCAGGGGAGGGCTGCCAAGACCGTAACTTCTTTTGGATCAAGGGAGCTACTAATTTATCATCAGTGTGAACAGAAAGATGCAGCAGGCACCACCCTGCAGCTGTTCACCTGGGTGTGTAACACAAACCAGAACAGAACCGATCCCTCTCCTCTTTCGCCCCACCCAGTTTTTGTATACTGGGGCACGTTACACAGACAGATGGTTGTGAGTCCTGGTAGCAGGTAAAGGAAAGCAGGAAGTAACAAGCAGGCTTTGAAGGGCTTCAGGAAAATGGCTAGCAGGCAGTGGGTCTGACCAGGAAATGAGTGTGCCAGAATCAGGTTTTTTCCCCTTTATCCTCTTTCCTGCCAGGAAAAGAACTGCTCTGTCTACTATTTCTGCCAGTTCTTTTTTTCCTCAGATTACATGCATCAAACTAGCTTTAATTTGCACAAGGGTGTCACTAAATGGCTGAACATGCATGATATCGGGGTGTCTTCCTTAGGGCAGGTTGACCCAGACACGCTAGGAGGCATTCACTGACTTTCTGCTCGCTGGCTTTGCTTTCTGCAGGGAGTTGTTGCCCACTGGGTTGCTGAATGCCGCCTTCGCATAGAACAGGCTTGACTGCTTACCCTAAAAACAGCCAGCAAGAAAAGAGGTAAGTTTTTCTTTGCCAGCCTTAGAGCTAGGACTATGGGATGTAATACCTGTGCAGTCAACTGGTTGAAAGATAAGCTAAAACACATTGCTAAAAGTTATCCTCCTGATCATAGAGCATAGCTTCATGTTGAAAGTAGATGGCCTTAAGATGTGCTTTTGATTGTCACGAGAATGGAAAGTGTTCTCAGTTTAAAACTTTGAGATCAATCTGACAAAGTATTTAAAATTAAAGAAGTTCAAGTATTGCTCATACCTCAACACAATGAGGTAGCTTTGGGTGACTGTCTGTCCGTACCCAGGGAACGGGAACGGCGGAGCACTCACCCAGTCCAAAGGAGGAAGGAATGTACTGCGAGATACCAATCTTCAGTAGAACTGTTAGATAGATATTTTCAGTTGCTTATAAAACTGTTACTGATGATGTGAGTTCTCTTCTAACTACAGGTAGCCATGACCAAAGTCATTGTCCCTTGAGCTGTGCTTAAAGTGATTGACACTGCAATCCAAGTGTGTGGCAGAGCTGGAGTTTCCCAGGATTTTCCTTTGGCTTCTATGTGAGTAAGGGAGATGCAGCTGTAGATTCTAAGCATTCCTGTTAAGGTAATTTTGTAACACCCAGTACGTGCCGTTTCACCTCAGGTAGCCTGAAATAATGGTCCATATGCCTTTAAGCTATGAAACTTGAAACAATTGCTTTTGTAATTCAATTCCAATGCAATTGCTTTACCCTAAAAAAAGAAAGAAAAGAAAAAAAAAAAGAGGCTGGCACTGAACCTACAATAGTTCTTATCGGCAGCATAGAGGATCTGTTTCTAAAGCTGTCTTACCCCTTATGGCCTGGGGAGAAGCAAGCCACCTGACTTTCCAGCCCACACACCTCAGTCCTGCCAGGACGATTTTGCTGCAGTATCTCCCATGTGATAGCTCTTTTCAAAGAGACTATTGTTAAAAGGATGGCTATAGCAAAAATAGCGCTGAGAACTCCTGCTGTCAGACTGGCTTGCTGCTGTGGCAGGGTTAGAATCTACAATCAGCTCTTCCAACACAGGTTTGCTTGCATACAGACCTTGTACCTGGCAGATGGGCCTGATGAAGAACAATTGCAAGGTGGGAAGTGCTTGATCAGTCAAAGAAGCTAACTGCAAAAATCAAATGTTGGCATAAAGCCACCTCAAATGGATGGAAGATTTAGGAAATATTTTGTTCGGTGCAGTGATGTTGTTTAAGGTAAAATTGTATGAATATAAGAACTTGATTCTAGCTTGAAGCAATACATATTCTCTCACTCTTTACTTGCAATTATTATATTTAATAATCAGAGGCTTGCTTTTAAAAATTTGCAGAATGCCATGTAAATACCAGAATTTGTCAGGGTTCTTTGTAACACTAAATAAAATCTGTTTTCTAACAGACCTGAAGTGCTTTATTTGAGCCAAAGCCCTCTTTATCCTTGTATTGTGGGCAAAGCTGTTTTGACTCAGTATTTTCACCCCATTTAGTTTATCACAAGCTAGGATAAGCTTTTAATTATTGATTAAATGACAACTGAACACTGAGGGCAATGCCTTTCTTTTCCCTTTCCAAAGCTCAGCCTCAGTCCAACCCACTCTCCGCCCCAGTTCCTGCTTGCAGCTGCCCTCCTTTTCACTAATGCTCCACTCAGTCCTTCCCCCACCTCCCCTCAAGTGAGGCTAAGGGCAGCACAGGAGGCTGGGGTCAGTGTGTAGCAGGGTTGTCTGCTACTCCTTGCTTCCTACTCCTCCATTTTGTTTCTCCAAACGCATCTCCTCATGTTTTTCCTTATAGATGCCCCTTTTGTCTTCCCTTGCATCTTTCCTTTTGTGTCTCCCTTTCTGCATCGTCACAAGCTTCCTCCTGTCTCTTGGCCCCAGCCGCTCTCACCCTTTCTTAAATATGTTTAAGCACAGGTGGCACCTTCCCCTCTGAGGAGCTGTAGTTTTGGCTGGAACCAGCAGTGACTGGCACAGGGCAGTTCATGGCCTCCTCTGCTGCCAAAACAGGCTCTGCCATTTATGCCCAGTACACCTTTGTGAAGTTCTCAAAGGTGAGAGTTCCTCAGCTCTGCTTCTTTAACAATCCTCTTCGACATCAGTGACTTACTAGAGAACTTGTTCAGATAGTAACAGAACCAGGCAGATCACAGCATACTGTGCCCTTGGTAGTTCTGCTTCCTATAAAGGTAGGACAGTTGCTTTTCAACTTATACAGGGTTGATCAACAGTTAGCTTACAGATACAAGTGTTTACTTTTTGCATGAACACGCCAACCACTCCCCTAGCATAGTGTTCAAGCTTGGAGAGAAGACGCCCTGTTTGGCTCAGTCTTCAGGATGAGACTGCAGCCAGTTCTGTCCTGGAGCCTACAGCCGAGTGTTCACCTGAAGGGTGTTCCAGCTACAGCTGCTGAAGTCAGTCAGGTTGGTACAGTTTCAGAGTACCTAGAACAGGAAGCCTGCCACAAATAAGCTTCTTACCTCATATCAATTCATTATACCTAAAAACAAGATGATAATCTCTTCTGAGAAAGCAATAATTATTGTTTATATTTCCATCCATCTTAGTTTCCTCTTGCTTCCTGCCAAGAATGTTTCCTAGGAAGTTGAGAATGTCAGCAAGTCAGTGGCTGAAGTGCATTTCAAAACACCCTGCACTGTACCACTACCAGCCGTTTAGGAGTTCTGCTCCAGGCCGTCAAGACCTGCACAACATGTTCTTCCAAGCAAGAATGCCCAGGAACCCTATTTAGCCACACTCAAATTAAGGTCTCTGACCGCCCTCATTTCCCACACCTTCAAAGAACAGCTACATAAGACCACCACCTTTATCTCATTAACAAGGCTCTTAATTCCCTTTATTTTAAAATTTTATGTACATATGAATGATCTGTATAATGTATACTCAATATAGAAAGTTTTTATATACTGGATAATGTATAGAACATTTCACAATTACACTAATTTCTTACATAACATGTCAACTTTAAGGTTTTTTTTGCTGAAGCTTTGTCAATTTGGTCAAGCCAGTTATACATACGAATGTCTAATGCTGTTTGATCTCAGGAAGAAGATAATGTTAATGATTAAGGACATCAGTGAACTGGTGCAGGGACAAACCCTTTGCAAGTCATGTTCAATGGGAGTGATCACATCAGACTGGGAAAAGAAGAGATGCCCTTTTAGGGGGGGGGTCGGTGAGGTCAAAGTGATTTTAGCCCAATTCCTCTAGACTGTAGCTCAACTCCAGTCATGCTAATTCATAAAATATAAAAACTAGGAAAGTTTGATTCACAGTCTTGTAAACAAATATAAAGGAACAAAATGTGCTTACGTACAACAAGAAAAAATTCTTGTGTACCCATTTCAGCTGATCCACAGAGTGCTTTCTTGTGTTACAGTGTGATAGTTAGAATCACTGACTTTTTCCTAAAAAAAACAAAACAAAAAACCACCAAACAGTCATAGAAAAAGGAATAACACTGTCATTAAACACTTGGAAAGGCAGTAAGTTCACTTCAATGTGTTGGAGGAAAGTGCTGTTCCTCATCACTGGCCAGTCTGCCTTTGTCTCTTTCACAAGGATTTCCAGTCCTTAGCTGACATCTCCCACTTCGTTGTCTACCGGGGGTGGTACGTTGGGCATTACGGATGATGTCGTCCCTGCAGTAAGGTAACCAGCAACTCCAGGGCCTTCCAGGAAGAAAACAGAGTATTGGTGATTAGTTTTGACTTTAAAGAGCGACTGAACAGCTTTATTCCCTCTGGTAACACTCAAATACATCATCTAAGTCAACTAAGCACCTTAAACAAGAACATTTAAGAATTTTTGTTTAGGTTCTTTGGAATCTAGGAACACTAGGAATTAAGGCATCTTAGTCCACTAAGTGGAGTAGCTTGTGGAGGCCATTCTCAGACTTGTTCAGCATTTTTTTTATTCTGATGTGCCAAGTAAGTTACAAAAGAACCCCAACCAACCAGCATTATCCATCTCACCTTCCACCATGGAAGTGGCAGTAAAGAGGGGGTGGCCTTCCTTCGCTAAGGGAAGGACCTGCTGCAGAAGTGAAGTGACTTCAGGCATGCATTCCACTACTGGGCTCCACATTTATGCTTGCAGTGTTGCAAAGGTTCTCCCAGCTGCATATTTCAAGGAAGCTCTGCCCCGTGAGCAAGCAGAACTGCCTTACACTTGTCTAGGCAGCTCTTTGTGCCTTCAGTTAGAAAAAGTAACAGCAATTCTTGGGATACACAAACTGTATTGGCGATACAGAACTCCTTACCGTTAATAAATCTCTATGTCGATTACTATAGGGGCAGTCAGTTTTGCACTGCAGACAAAGACCCTCTCCCTCAAAGCTTGGAGTTTAAAACTTAGCCATATAGAAACTTTAACAAGTCCAATAAAACTCATGTTGCAGCATGAGGTGTTTCAACAGCAACTCTTATCAGATTAACGACCGTAGAAAACTGCCAACCCGCAACATGTTCCTGCATCAATACAGCGATCAACTTGGTATTAGACCTTCAGCCTACACTGCTAATCTTCAACATGGGAAGTTCTGCTGAGTCCTTTACTCTCCCCCCTTAAGTCACCCTCACCGAGTTCTCCCAAATTTACTATCCCTTCGTGCCCCACCCTCTCTTCTCACACTACAGCCTGGAGCCAGAACATCAGAGTGTGGTTTGTCTCCTTGCAAACAGTCCTACGCTACTACTGCAGGCAAGAGCAAAGCAAGCAGTGCCTTTGGTAAAAAAAAAAAAGCTCTCTGGCTTCAGAAGCGGACTTCTCTTCGCCAGCCCATCAGTGGCACCTGCCAAGAGCCAGACCCACTTTTACATGTCCTAGTGCAAAAATTCCACAAGTTCTCTTGTCCCTCAAACTCTTCCATTATGGAGGATTCCTAACATACTTCAGAAGTTTAGTTCATCTGTAGTACCAGCAAGTATCAGCCACTGCAGTTGTTAGTTTTCTGCTCCTGTGTGCTTGAAGAAGGCAAGTTTATCGGTGTTTTGCAGTTTGGGACCACACATCTGTTACAGTTCTATGACATGCATCTATCACTTGGAATGCAGCAAGTGCAGCGTGCATTTTGCAAGATGGTATCTACCTGCTTTAGAGAGCTACACAGAAGTTAGCAAGCTGCCTGGCAGAGCAGATCTAAAGCCCACTTCTCAGGTGAAGGGGACTGCTGCCAGTTAGAAGGGAAGGAGAAGAGACACCTGAGGGAAGAGAAATAAGCAAGGGAAGTTTCAAGGGAAGTGCAAATAGCAAAGCAATTTGAAGCAAGACATAAGGCAGAATACAAGATAAGGCAGGTTAAAAATAAAGCTTGTCCTTTGGTCTCCATCTATACTTTGCATTTGTACAGCATCTTCATTCTACATTTGCAAGCACTTAAACATCAGGCAATTTAGATGCAGCACAGGCCTTAAGGCAATTGGATAGCTATACTGCCCCCAGTCTCAAGCCTGACAATGTCTGGTATAGTTTCAGTTCTTAGCCAGCATTTACTTCATATTTCTAATTTATAGTGTTTATGAAATGCCAAGGAAATTCAGTACCAAATGAATCAAGTGTTCAAGCATTCTTTGTCAGAGTGGCATTAAATGGTGCAAGAAACAGAAAACTCCTGTTCAGAGCTGAAGCACCGAGTCTTCCTGTGTGGAAAAACATCAAGTGTTGCCACATACCTACTCTCAAAATATTAAGCATCTGCTTCTAGAATGTCTAATTCCTGACTTGAAAGGCTCTTGCTTCATTTTCTCAAAACACATGCTAGTATCTTGCAAGAAAAAAAAACACACAACTTTCCTGTTTATGTGGCCATCTGATTTATATCTCATTAATTCAGTAACACTCAAAAGCTTTACCAAGATTCCTATATTGGGTTAGATGAGAAAGTTCCATGCGGCACATGGAAGTGTTCATATTGACTTGTCACAAAGGACTTAAGTTTAGCCTCCCAGGTAAGGTTTTAAAGACCAAATGATTGTTTAGCTGATGGCTACTGAGGAGTCGGAAGTTTGCATCATGTGTTGCTTTAGACAAAGTTTGCTACAATGTCATTACATAAAATATTTTCAGGCATAGCAAGTAATCTGTGATAGCAAAGTTTTGTACTGCGGTACAGCAGAATGTAGTCATTAAAGATGTGTCTATCAAGTGCTGCACGCGAGTGAAGGAAAAACCAGAATTTGCTGTGACGTAACTGTTCTAGGATTATGTCCACACCGTGCCATTACCAGCAAGGAGGTTCACATCAGTTGCTATCCTCTGTGTGTGCACAGCACACAGCACGCACAGCTAGAATGCTCTTCTACCTTGCTAGTGGGACTGGGGTGGCACCCCTGGGGTGCCATTTCCATCTTGGTGGCACCAGCAGGGGACTCACCCAGGGTGCACCACGGGTGCATTCAAGTATATGCCGCAAGCTCCAAGTACAGGCGCAAGGCCGCTCCCACCAGAGAAGGGCCCTGCCAGTGCACTAAGTCTGACTGGAACATGGCCTCACACTCCGAGCTATTAACATTCAAACTGTTCCAATACTACAACTACATGCCTAACACTAAAGCAGCATAATTCACATGACAATTAATACAGACAAAGTCTAAGTGATTTTGAAGAAAGTTTACTCCTCCTTCCCCAACCTTGGAAAACAATTTTTTCCTAGAACTAAAGTAGACTGATCCTGAGAAAGCATGGAAAGTTATGTCATTCATTAGTTCTGATTACATCTCTGCTTTATCACTACAGGGTACTTGCAAGGCTTGCCAGTGTCCAGATTCCATTGATCTGATATTTTAGAAGTAGGTACAGCAAAGACTATCCAGAGAAATACATTCTCAACCACAAAAAAGTGTTTGGCTTTTGATAAGCATTTTAAAAAACTTACTGTATTTTTACAGTACTGAATGTTCAGGCCACATGATGGCACTAGATCCTGAGGATAAACACTGTCTCCAGAGTCAAGTCTGACAATTAAGTAACAGTTCAGTATGGTTCAGGACATAAATAGGAAAGGGTTGCCAACCTGTGAGGTATCCTGCTGTTTGCGTCTCAGAAATGAACAAGTCATGTTTCTGATCCTTGAAGGCACTCCACACAGAAGAACGAGACAGAATTTCATTTACCTACAGTATTTGAAGAGTTTAAGAGTGAGCAAGTGACATTTGTAATGTTCTAGGGGAACAAACATTTTCTAGAACCAAACCATTCAGAAGGGATTACAAAATAGCATGGCAGTAGTTTAGGCTGTGACACAGAATCGCACGTTTCCAAGGAGACTGTAGCAACTTGCTTTTTCATTTGAATTGTGCAGAATTCAATTCAATTCAGTTGAATTCTGCAACATAATGCAAGAAGGCTCATAAAGAAAAGTAATTTAGTAGCTTGAGTTTCTCCCTCATTCCCCAGTCAGGTGACAAGGAAAAGCAACCCTGCAAGCAGCCACTTGCCATGCATCTAGAACTGAGGTAGAACAGGACTTTTCCTGTACTATAGCAAGACAGGGCCAACTTGGAGGTAGAGACCTATCCCTAGTTTCCCTCTCTTTGAGAAAGCTTTCAACACAAGGGTAAGAGAAAGGCACCAAGAACTAGCACACTTACTGGAACAAATTTTACCAACTTGAATATACATCCATAACACTGCTGCAGTTGTCTACAACAGTATTTATCCAGGAAACAAAAAAGCAATTTACATTTCTAACAGAAGTTCTGAAGAGTTGTCAGTAGAAGCCTACTAGCTTATTGAACATTTCTGCACTTGGGATTTGTCTTTTTTACTAACTAGTGCTCTTCACATGCATTGAACCAATTACTTCTCCACAAGAAAGAGATGGAGACATTCCAACCCATAATGATTTTGTAGCTACGTGATAACATTTTAGGTGGAATGATGCACAGGACAGCCCTAAGATTAAACAAGGGATGTTCAGAGTTCAATCTTCCAAGTGTACAAAGCCCAGTTAAGGACTTGTCAGTACTTACCTGTTCTCCGTACTGCAGGCTGCGAGACATGGATTTCAGAGTTTTAACAATCTGAGCTTTTGTTGCAGATGGGCTTTCCAGGTTCTCGAGACCAATACCTTCAAGCAACTTTAGAAGATAAGGGACCAAATCTGCTTTCAAAGCCTGCAAACATACTCAAGTGAGTTGTCTTAACAGGGGCTAGGAAGTTCCATACAGATGTTCTACATTACTAGCATTAATGTGAACCAAAGTGCCAACAGCTATTACCAAGTATGTTTAGGCTATTCAATTTTTCCTGGGCTGTATGAATACATACAGGAGAAAGCAAAGATACCATCCAGCAGTTCTGCTCTGTCTAGGTGTAAACTCAGTTGAATTAGCTGGCATTCCGATGTTATGCTTTCTCAGCAGACACAAGTCACACTATCCTATGCGTTAAGCTTCAATGCTTGGGTAGCATCCTTGAATGGGTCTGCATTTTGGATAAAGGACTGACTTCTGACTTCTCCAACATGAAAAGCACATTAGTTAGATCACTTCCGGGAAGCCTCCTGGACACTTAAGTTGAACAGTACTTCTGTTCTTATGAGCAGATTAGATACCCAAATATAAAAATACCACATTTTTACAGATTGAGAATGTGCTACTTACTTGGGCTACTAAGTCATTTTGTTCCTTCTGAAACATTCGATTAAGCGCTTCGCAGGCTACACCAACTATATCTGATCTCTTTTTCATTCCATTCATGAGAGGGCTAATGGTCTCTAGTGATGCCATTGCTCGAACACAAAGCTATAGAGAGACAGAAGCATCCAGAGTACTTTATTTTACGCTAAGCTTGACGGTTATGGCAGATATGGTCAGCCAAGATCATAAACTTCTCAGTGTCTTTAATCTATGAGTTCCCCATTAATTAGCGGTAAGTCCCTGCTTATCTGGTGCACAGTATTTATAGTTAGAATAATGCCCTTCTAGGAACACTACTAAACAACACAGATAACTCCAGTTATACTTTTTTCTCCCCTTGAGCACTTAAGTGATTCAGTACCTCATTGTCAGACAGTATGTGCATGACACGAATGGCACTTTTAGGAATAGCATTGTTCTTGTGGTTCATAGCTTGGATTATCTTGTGAAGATGACCAAGTGGAGGAACTTGATCAGCTAGCTGAGGCTGGGCACTAAACAGGCACACAGTTGCTGTGGTAATGGTTTCTAAAGTTTCCCCCTGCAGAAAACCAAAAACCAACAGAAAATATAACTCAGTAAAACCTAATTATCACCATAACAACAACATTTCTCACTTGCTCTGCATTATAGATTTTTTCCTTAATGCTTTTATCATGTCACTTTGCTTTGAAATTGTTAAAACAAGGGAAATTTCATAGTGGCAGACATTCACTATTTTCATGAACACAGATCACAGGAAATTTCTAAGCACTGTTTCCAGTATCAACAGATGCCAGTGTCTGGCTGCAGCCTCTGTGTGCACAGCACCACGTGTGCTAACTTGCTCAGTGGAAGCATGATAGCATGGATGTTTAGGCTGACCACCTGAATGCCTTAAGGCATTCTGCAGTCTGTGCAGCAGCACTCACCACACTTGCTGTATTCTGCATGCCGATACAAACTGCTATCACATCTTTATTACAAAGATGTCTTTTATTCAATGCAAGTTAGTTCCCTCCCTGCAAGTCTAACCCAGAATCTGTCTGAACACTGTTTAAAATTCAGTTTTTAATAATATCATTATGCTACTGACTCAAACATTGCTCTCATTCAAACTGTAACACAAGTTCTACTGCATTACACTAATTGTTAGGTGGCAACCTCGTAAAGGTCATGTAATTTACACCAGAGTGGGCAGTTAATGTTGCATAAGGACATTAGAAGTCTGAAGACCTGAAAATTTTTAGGCAGTGTAGAAAAAGTGCCATTTTCTTAGGTTGGTCAGTCATGGAATAATTAAAGACACTCCATTTGTTAAGCCTCATCTCCACCACAAAATAAGCCTCCAAGACTTACTGAAGCTAGTTCTGTGGCTTCAGGGACCTTAAAAACACTGACTCATGTTCAGAAGTTGCCTGAACATATCTACGTGCTTTTACAGAGAGTCAGAAAGTAGACAAAAAATATCATTCATGTTGGGAAGAAAGCGTGAGAATTGAAGTTAATCATAGAATCATTTAGGTTGGAAAAGACCCTTAAGACCGTCGAGTCCCACCGTCAACCTAACACCGCCAAGTCCACCACTACGCCATGTCCCGCAGCACCACATCTACAGGTCTTTTCAATATCTCCAGGGATGGTGACTCAACCACTTCCCTGGGCAGCCTGTTCCAATGCTTGAGAACCCTTTCTGTGAAGAAATTTTTCCCAATCCCCAATATAAATCAGATACTAAAAGACTAGTAGCTTAAGACTGCTAAACCAATTCAGAGCAGAATCAGAAAAATCATCTTACATGGGGGTTATTTTTCTCCAGTAGTTCAGTAAACTTTTCCAACAGTGCAACGAGAAATTCTCTTGGTTTCCGTAAAACCCAGGCCGGCTGGGCAATAAAAATCCTTAGGAAGACTCCCCCCACTGAAAGTTCACCTTCTGCCTCACCATACACCACAGCAAAGTCTTCAGGCAGCTGTTGAATTGTAAAGTAGAAGGAGTTATTGGCAAGGGTATTTGTGAGAGCTGTAATTGTTTCTCTAACATCATGATTTAAGTGGTAAGGGTCACCGAACTAATAGTGTTCTCCAAAACTGTGCAAGAGCTGTGCAAGACCAATAAACGCTTCATCTTGAAGAAACATGAGGTTAAGAAGTGAGAGTAGAAAGAACAGTGCAGGCAGTACTACTACAGTGGACTGTTCTTTCAAAGAACACAAGTAACTGAGTCTACAGCTATACTAATGGTAAACACGAGTTCAAGAGAAGTACCAGCAACAAGGCTGATAGAACAGCCCTTCCCTTTCTTTCTTGCACACTTCAGGGGAAGGTTTCTCACCATCAACCTCGCAAAGTTTCCAGTTTCCACCCGCATCAAAACAGCCATTCTGCACGTGTTTAGAAGTTGTTTTAACATTGAACTAGACCACTGTTGGGAGGAAGTCATGCCTGGCCTTTCACAGATATTGGGAAATACTACAGACTGGAACATCTCACTGATTGACCTGATGTGATAGAATGGCTCAGGACAATAATTTTTTAGACTCAGTGGCTTACTAACATTCCTGAACATTTACCAAGAGCAAGTTTACTACAGCTACGTAATAAGTGACAGGACTTTTCCCAGCAAACCAGTATTCTCTTTTGTTGCTGACTTTTGGTAAGTTTTAGAATGACCTGAACTATCAGAAAATTCAGAGTATTACTGGCAAACTCACTGCCAATGAAGTGTCTGATTTCAAGGTACAAGAAGTAACGAAAGCATCAATTCAACATTAAAACAGTTATGTTAGCACAGCAGTGAGTTCCTGTTGGTGCTTCAAGAATAAAGCCTGGTCTCATACATGCATATATTATCAGCTGGCTTATAGTCTCCCTGGACACACCCAAAGCAGAAACAGTATACTTTTACCTTCCAGTTAGTGTCAGGGTTGTCCCTCTGAAGTTTAAAGTGCCTTTAAAAAGAAAGTAAGTTTTAACGAGCAGTAAAAGAAGCAGTCTTCCCTACTTGACACCTCAGTTTCTTTCCATCATTGTGAAGCAGTTCCAGTTTCTAAACCCCATTTCCTCCTCGTTGTAACCCCCTCCCAAATCTTATAGCAGTGAGCTAATACCTGGATTGTGCACAAATCACACTCGCATCACTGAATTACAGGTACAATGTACAAACGGTGAAGTTTTTCACTGAAGTCTGGCGTGCAAGGATTCTACTTTTTACAGGCAGAGCTCTGAGTTCTTCTATAGCAACTCTGGTTTACCACCACTAAAAGTGTCTCAGTTAAGGAAATAGTTAGTAGGTCCCCACATACTCAAGCATCATTTCTCGAACTGTTGTTGATACTCTCTCCCTGGAGTTGTCATTCCAAATTAACTCAGGATTTTCATGAGTTCCCTCAAAGATATGAACAGCAGCTTCAGGGTTGTCCCTCATGGCATCCATGAAGACTCCGGGTAAAAATTTCATTAGTATAATTCTAACCTAGAAAGGATGAACAGAATTGACATTTAGTATACCGTAAGTCAAACTAACTGACAGAAAAATAGAGAACTCCAGGGAGTCCAGTTATTTGTAGTGCTATAATGCCAACTGCTAGAACACAACACCACAAAATAAAATAGAGCTACCATTTTAAGTAGCGATAACTAATGACAGGTCTGAAATCTAGGTATCTAATGTTAAAGTCATTACAAATGGAAACCAAACTGCTTATAGTAGTTACAATAAATACAACTGCTTCTAGAAGTCTGCTCACAGATTAAGAGTTAACCATTTTGAAAGAGCCAGATTGCTCTCCACGTGAATGTTTCAGTCACGGAAGAGGCCTTTTTTTGTTCCGTCCTTAGAGAGAGGTTGGTAATGTCAAGAGAAGAGTTCCCACAAGAGCTGTTAAGATTCCTACCTTTGGACCCACCAGCTTATCTGCAGTCATTTTGGCAAAGAGCTCTGCTGTTTGGGCTCGGACCTGTGGATGAGTTGAGTTGCAAAACATATCTAGTAAGTAGATTAAAGCACCTGTACAAAGAGATAGGAAAACATTCAAAATTTTTTCTGGTCACAAGTAGTAGAATTCACCAATTCCACACTGATTGTTCTGAAGGGAAGAGTAAGATTCGGTCACTGTATTTGCTTTAAGTCCAGTGTTGCAGAAACATTTGCTTTCAATGTAGTAATGTACCTTTTGCCATGGCCTCTTTAATTATTTTTGTGCTAGATGTCAAAGCATACAAAGTTTCAAGGACGAGTTGCCGACCTGTCAAAATAAAAAGTATTATAACCTTTGTGCCATATAGACTATTACCTAATCAAAGATGAACTAAACTGATCTTAACAGAAAGCTGTATCAAAACTGCAATAAAGCTTATGAGAAGAGCTAGTCAGAGGTACATATACAATTGCAAGCTTATAGGGATTTCTGGCTAAATTCAGTTAGTTAAGGAACGTCAATCATACATTATAGTATGGCACAACTTATTAATTAGATATTTACTACATAAATTCCCTAAAATAATTAGTCAATTAAATACTGTGCAATTCAAGCATAATTCAAATACCTGCAATTCAAGCGTTTCAGCTCACACATTTAAGACAAACAGGTTACACAGAGCATTTTTTTAATCATCCCCACTGAAATGCCGTTTTAGCCTAAAACTCAGTAGTAAGCTCAGCCAGCTGCATTCTAATTAATTTCCAAGTTGGAAACCCTTTGCCTTGCAAGACTACGAATTATATGGTACATACTTGAAGGTAAGGAATGCAGAAGTGCCAGTAAGTTAGCAAGAACCATTGCCTCAGCAATGTTGTTAACACATTCTTGGTTACTTGTTACTATGTTCACTACCTGTAAAAGATCAGAAACAACGCTTGATGATATTCCAGCTGTTAAGATATTGTCCAGAAAATGCAGTGCATGATGAACTCAGTCACCTCGCTGGCCAATATAGCTCATATTTACAATGTTTATTCCTGCCACCAAATTGTCTTGTCACCTCAGGGGAGAAGGGAGTAAAGACACAGGCAAGAAGCTATCACTTGTTCCTCCAAGGAGGAACTGACACCTTGGAACCCCCATCTTGATACTTTTTAGGTGCTACTTTAACAGTTACACAATCAGGTTTGTTTATGCTGATCATGTAGAGCATCCAGACAGCGGGGTTTGGTTTTTTTTTTTGCTTTTTTTTTTTTACCTCCAGAGCCAACTGCTGCACCTGGCCAGCTCCATGAACACGCAGAAGGGAGAATATCAACTTGAAGTGACCTATGCATTCACACTCAGAACCTGCAAGAGACCAGATAAGTTATTCTCTTCATGTTAGCCAAAGCATTCACTGAAGGCAATCCCAAGTGCACATTTCACTATACAGAGAGGTGTTAAAGACTATATGTCTGTATATAGTCTGCCACAGTAGTTATAACAGCTCCTACAGGACAGGACCTACTACAGAACTAGAAAATTATGAAGTTCTGTCTATTAATCTAGGTTCCACAAAGTCTCAGGTCAACCATGTTTCAAAAGGAGAGGATACTTCCTCCCTCTAAGGCAAGTAACTGAGCTAGTTCTTGGACTACCTAGTTACTTGCATTCTTACAAGACAACTGAGCAAGTTCAGTTATACTATTTATCATTGGTTATCGGTACTTCTTGTCTTCAAATACACTTGCCCTTTCTGATTCTCCCAGCTCAGAGTAGGGTTGCTATCTGCAGCAATAACAGCTGCCTTCAGAGTTATAATTGCCAAATACAGATAATGCAGTCTGAGAACAACCTAACCGCCTATTATTAGAAGCTATGATAGTAACATGAGTTGCTTTTAGAACTAACTTACAATACAGTAGGAAAACGTCCTAATCACATGTCTCAGGCTTTTCCAGTCTGTACATTGGTTAACTGCTCATAAATCTTTGCTGGTATTAGCTACCTACTCTCAAGAGCATCTTCTCCTCCTGCTTTAGTAAGGCCCTGACATGTCTTTAGGTGTTTATACAGTACTCAGCTCAAGGGGGTTCTTTTTTGCTTGCGTGATGCAAGGAAGTTTAAAAATCAGTTAAAATTCTTTGAAAGAGTACAGAAAGTTTCATCCAAGAGGTTTAAGTCTTCCTGGCAACAGCAGGCTAGAATTAAGAGTTAAAACCCAATGTTTCAGAGAAGAAAACAGGTAAAGCTTGGATTTCACACAAAACTAATGCATCTATGATAACGTTCTCTGGGGGGGAGTGGGGGTGGGGGAAAGAAGAAAAAGCAAGCCTATGTGGCTTATCAACACTAAAGTCTGTTAGCCAGCAAAACAAGCTGCTTTCTCACTGGAAGATAAAGACTACAGGGGCCTGCATTTTTTAAGGTTGTCCACAAGAAAGCCTATCAGGGAAGTTCCATTTTTAAGCCTACCTGGGTTGTGTTTTATCACGTTTCTCAGAGCCTCCAGGGCCATTTCAACTCTCCGTAACCGATCTCCATGTTGATTGGACTCTACTTTCCCAGTCTGTGTTATTGCCATTAGCGTGTGAAGGTACTGTGCTTGTGAGCCTATGTAATCCAAGAGGCTTGCAGCAAATGTTTTAGGAAGCTTTAAATTAGAGATGAGAGCATTTTTAGCTGTGTGATGCAGAAGTATTCACACTAGAAGAAAGTGTATCCAAATAACTTTTCCTACGTATCACATCTCCCTTTCTTCCAGAAAGGAAACACTTTTCTACTCTGATCACTGAACATCTGGAGCACATTGGCCCTATTTCTATCTAAACACACCCTTAGAAAGCTGCCACTACTTCAACAGCACTCTTAAGGAGTATGTTTGTCTATATATATACACGCACACACACACAGCGCAAAGCCACTAGGCAGAATCTCTACCTCCTAGAATTACTGAATAAACCTGAGTGTCTGCAGTGCAAGCTTGTAGAGAAAAGGCATTAAGCCATCCAAAGCAGCACGTCTTATGGCAAACTCAGTGTTTTTTTAATTTATTCTACTCCAATAAAGAGATATCCCATAACATTCTGATCACGTTGAAGGAAACTTCCACAAGATCTCGTATTTTCTCTGTTCTGTTTGCACGGATAGGTAGATAAAGAGGAGGCAGTAACATTCTAAATACTATTTTCAACAGGAAGGTTTTAACTACATCTCACCTCTAGTTGGAAGGTAGGGACCTCATTGTAGACTCTAACAAAAATCTCTCCTACAATAAGTTCCTTTGCATGGTCACTGAAGACAAAGTCAGATCCATAGCTCTTGTCACAATCACCCTTTAAGTAGAAATAAGCAAGCTCAGAGAGAAAATAATCTTGTAGAAAGTGTAAAGCTATAACCTGATAGTGAAATAGACGATACTTGAACAGAAAACTTAAAGCTTTAGCAAAAGTCAGAAGCTCAAGACAGACTGAAACATTACAAGAAATAACAAGGCAAACTCAGGTTTTCATCATCTTTTAAGACTACTGAATGAAGAAAGTGACTTAGGAGTAGGCAACAATGGATACTTGTATTAACTATACCACCATATTACAAGCAGCTGTACCAAAACACAGAATAGTTTAAAAAAAAAATAGTAGTGGGATTTAAAGTAGAGAGTATCTTACTCTCTTAATCATGCTTTCTTGTTGAGATTCCAAAAACTCAAGTAATTCGGCTCTTGTCCCATTGTTCCAGATCAAGTAGGGGTTCTCTGTGTTACTGTTAAGCATCTTCAGAGTCTAAGAAATAAGGAATTTACATGATGTAATGCATTTACAACTTAGTTCTGGGTCATTACACTCATATAATGAAGCACACCGATTACTAAGTTAATCCAATCTCATTAACAACCAGACCAATTTCATAAGCAGGTTTAAAGTGTCAAGTTTTCCACATACTGGAAAAACAGTATGTTTAAGTTATTTGGTACAGTACAATCTATATTTTAGTTTTTCTTTGTTCTGCTTTGAGCCACACTTGCTTCAGATTTTTCTATTTTTGACAGTGAGCAGCAATTATCCACAGCATATCTTTGTAGATTACTTCATTGGCATCATTAAAGAGTAGTTTAGCCTTTGCTCTCCATTATCATTATATCCTTAAGCCTTCAACAGTTACCTCAACTTCTTTACTCCCATATTTGTCTTGCAAGTATTAGTCTATAGGGTACTGTTCCTGTCCATAATGTTTGAGGCTGAAACAGTTTATTTTCCTCACAGTTACTCCAACTGCAAAGAAAAATCGCACTGCTGTTCTCTGTATCAGGTTGGTCTAAGAGAGCTCAGTGTTTTAGAAGTGACCAGGTACTCCTTCCATAAATTACTAGAGAAAGTTTGGGCCAACAGATGCTTACCTCAGTAGGGCAGACCACAGCAAGTTTCCTTGCAATATAGGGTGTCAACATTCCAGCCAAGCTTTTCCTGATCATTGGGTTTTCAGGTGTAGCTTGTTCTTCAGAGAGATACCCTCCAAGGCGACTCAAGGCCAGGAGACTGAGCTTAGCAAGGCTATTTGCTACCTCCTGAAAAATACAGACAGTTATAAAAAAGCTAGAGCTTACTGAAGAAATATTAAAATAGCTAGAAAGTTGTCCAACACTTCTGCACCAGAATGAACAGAACTGGTATTCCCTATTTATCTACATCACTAATTATGCACTGATGTCTAATAAAACACTAGGTGCTACAGAACAGCACAATATGATCACTGTGTTGTGGGATTAATAAATGCAGTTAGACACAAACACTGATAAGTAGGAAAAACTGGGGCATCAAGATGAGCTGAAAGCTAAAGAGGCTATTTAGTGTAATAGCTTCTGACCAGACAACAGTTCCTGCTAGCACAGTCAAATATCAGCATAATGAGCCTTTTATGACAGTGATACAAGAGTTAACAACTACAATAGACTGTTCAAAGCCCATCTCATCCAGCAGCTGAGGATGAAGTGCCATACTTCATCCATTTAGGGAAATGGAAGGTGTGAAGCAACTTATCTAGCTGTAGGGCAAAGGAACAATACGGTCCTAAAGTAGACATTTCAGATAAGTCAACGGTATCACTAGACAACCCCTTCAGTTGAACCTCAAGAGAAATGGACTTTTTCTTCTGATAGCACAAATTTACTTTTTTACTGTTCACTGTAGATAAGTCTCTTGCATTAAGTCTATTGGAAACTACAGGTTTTGGCAGCTTTAACAGTCGCACTCAAAACATGAGCTACTCTTAAAAAAACCCAACAAAAACCAAAACCCAAACAACAGTATTTACACTACTACACAAAAATCCCCTTCCAAAACTGCTCTGTTAACATTATTGTTCATGTAATTCAATGATTCTTACAAGTATTTGAATACACTTGTTTTGTTAATAAGAGATGGCAAGCAACAACCACTGGTGTCTGAAAGCATGCACCTTATTAACATTACCTGGTGATTCGAATCTTCACTTTTCTGAATACCACTCTCTTCTAGTGTGTAGTCATAGTTGAAGAGGTAACCCAGTAAGTACCAGAGAACTCCAGCTTGGAACAAGTGTGTTTGTAGCCAGTAATCTAAGGCAAAGGAGCTAACACACTCCACTCCCAAAGAAGCTACTCGTGGTATGTTCTGAGAGAGGAAAAAAGTTTGCCTTAGTACTTGTGACCAAAGAAAGCCAACTTTCCTTACCAAACAAAGGTTCAAAGTCAAAACTTGCTAATTCTGGAGTACCCATCTAAGCAGCACAGAGATGAAAACTGAAGCAGACAGAACAACATCTGCAGTTGAAGTTAAGTGTCTGGTAGCCAAGAAACATGGCTAATTAGTCAGCATTCTTCAAAGGAAGAGTACTTGAAAAGTTATTTCATACGATTAGAAAGGAGCATTGATGAACTACTGGAAAAACAATTCGAGAAGGTGGCAGAGATTCCCAGGTGAGCTTTTTATGGCAATACATGTGTTCTGCAGGGACTGAAGAACAGACAAGCACCTGTAGTTAATTACTACAGTCTTGTTTTATAGTCTTCTGTTTTCTATAGTCTTCTGTGTTTTCACATACCCCATACGAAAAGTTCAAGACAAGCTTTCCTTTCTTAATTCAGACAAAATTCAGCATTTATATAACATGAGGTAAGTTCTAAAGAGCTAAACGGCAACAAAACTTCTTGAGTACTGTTCCCAGAGTTTATGCTGATTTAGGCGTTCATCTACTTACATAAGATCTAGCTCTAGTACTTTTATCTGCTGATCTAGTACAGTAAACCAATCAGCTAGACATAAGTCAGTTAAAAGACAAATGTAGCTGAATCTTTGTAGTGATTGCATTTTGAGTCCACTAAATGGATTCAAATACAAGTGTTGAGAACAAGGCAGCAGACTTTTGTATCCCATAATGATTAGCTGGGATCTTACAGAAAGGTTTGATCAGTCTGCAATTATCCTATCTCCCTTAAAAACAATCCGTAAAAAAAAAATCCCCTAAACATTTAACAGTTAAATACCCATTTAGGCAAAGGAAAGGAGCTCTTACCTTGCCATAATACAGTAGTCTACAGAGGTCCTTAATGATGTTAGGCATTTCTGTAATCTTCTCTCTGCATTCCTCAAACTGAGCAGCTACACTGTAACACTTACTAATATATCCACATACCTACAAAAAGCAGTATTTTATTGGTTCCAAGTGGAGGGGAAATGCATGGTTACAATCTTATTTTTTAATATATATAAATACTATATCAATATTTTATATTATATATACACACTTATGTTTATTATCATATTACATATATATATATATAGTCTGAGAAGCTGATACAATCAAAGTTGCTGCAACTTACCTGTACAGACATATCATCTGGTTTACTAGAGTGAGTCAAGACTGCTACACAACGATTAAATGCTTCTTGCAATACCTGTAAGGATTGGATGATGCATAAGTTCAGTCACAACAAAAACTGATAAAGGCTGGCAGAAATTAAAAATGGGTTTTATCGCTAGTGTTTTATGGCTGAAGGGAAACATTTGACAAAATCCACTGTTTGCTCAAATGGTTTGTAGGGGCAAAATTCCTTGCATGTGCTGGTACTAGCATTTGGTGCTTTAGAGTTGATAGCATTCTCACATGTGAGCTAACACGCACAATGAAAAGTCCTTCTGCTCAAGTGACTTGTTCATGTTTATCTAGCCTTTCACAAACAGAATGCAGAAGTTCTCAGTTTGTAAAGAAGTAGAGAAATATCTTATGTAGTTTGCTTATCCACAGTTCAACAGACAAGCCTAGGTCCAGAAAGGGGTATACTCTGCAAGAGACTTCTCCTACTGCATCCAGAAGAGAGACAGTAAGAATGGACAAGTGTCTCAACAATACCAAAAGTGATTCTCAGTTGCATCTGATGTCCTATGCATTGAGGATCTAAGATTTTTAGCTGTGGAAAAGTAAGAATAAAACAATTCATTTCAATAAGTTTCTTTTCATTTACCTCAATTCCATTTTCTCTTCTCAGTTCTTCTGCGTTTAATGCTGAACAATTGACAGTATGGAAAGCAAGTTCTGTAGCAGCGGGCAACAGAGGAGATTCTTTGGAAAACAAAAGGTCATCTGATGTTTCAATGGTAATAGTCTTTATCAGCATAGGATAGCCCGCATATTTGTAAGGTTTCAACTCTGAAAGAGGAAAAAAAAAGTCAAAGTTTAAGTTACTTAGGCTCTGCATATATGTAAACCACTGTATAATTATCAGTGAAAGATGTATCAGATATGTAAGGACTAGGAGTCAAAGAAAGCCAACACCTAGGAAAATTGGAGCAAGACTAAGCAGTCCACACAGTCTGACTCCTTGTCACATAAGACTGTTCATGCTAGAAGCTGACAGAGCTTCACAGAAAGAACTCATTTAAGATTAAAAAGACTTATCTCCAGCTCAGCAAGCCCCCAAGCTCAGAGCCTTCCAAATGATGCTTGTCTGTCTCCAGAGAAACAAGTATAGCTTTGTCTGTCTGTCTTAGACCAGGATTGTCTAACAATAAGCCTATAAGGACCTTTTCCAGTTTGACACAGCAATTGTTTTAAATAATTATATTTTTCATTCCTTTAGGGTTCAGCGGTGCTAAAGAACAATTTCATCTTGTAGTATGGAGCCGATTGTGAGCCGACCTATATAAGTCTACACTAGTGCTGTCACTGCCTCCACACAACTGACAGAGCTATGACTGCATATGAGGTTCTTAGTTTACCATTACAATGTTAACACTTACATAGCAAAACACTGTTGACTCGGCAAGATTTGGACATGTCAGCAACTGCCAGCCAGGGACCGCAGCTAGAGCCAAGGGTTAGGGTACTCTAGCTATCCCTCTTGCCCAGTTGGACTGTGAAAGAGGTAGTGTTGCAGCACACACACCAGAGGACTCTAACGCTAGTCAGAATTTCTGCAAGATTGTCTCATTTTCAATAGCCACATGAGTGCAATCTCATTTATACCCAGAATCTGCCACCTGGGTGACTGAGTACTAGTGAGGACTTTTCTGCATAGACAGAATTGTAAGTCTAAATTATATATGGAGGAAGATTCAAACTGATTAGTATTGATGCAGAGAATTTCAAAAAGCTATTAATGCTTTTTTGAATTAAGTTTTACTGCAGATGAATTTATTTCATGGAAGAAGTAGTCCTATTCTTAAGTCCTTTACCATAGCTACATTATGCTGTGGCAAGCCAGAAACCAGATCAACGGAACACAGACTCAAGAACAGAGGAGCTTAAAACTGACCGCAATGGCCACTAAAGAAATGAACATAAAACATTCTTCTGAGACAGCATGCTTACCTTCCTTATGCCTGTTGAAGAGGATGCTTTGAGTTTTCAAGATCAAAATTATGTTTTCTGGATCTGGCCCATCTATCACCTTGGCAGACTTCGTGCATAGAAACTCATATGCTTTATTAACTTTTTCAAACATATCCTGCAAATAAAGAGGAATAGTCTTAAGAGTTGCTAAGAACCCCTTAAATTACTACAAGTCTGCAGCATCAGTTTAGATATTTATATTTGGATAAGCATTCCAGGTTATTAGCCACAACGCTAGTTTTGTTGCCTTACTGCACTTCAGAAACTACTCCAAATAACCTTAAGAACACTGGTTCACAGATGAGTTTTCTTTTATCTCCTAAACTTGGCCATAGGCAAAAGACAAACAAAGTCAATTCCACTATGACAAAACTAGTAAGTACAATTTAATTGATCATAAGAATGGGCAGAGGATGAAGTCTGTCTTTGAAAGGGAGCAATTAGCTTATTTAGGTCCTGTGTAACTCTAAACCAGATGCTTTCTGAGATGTGGGTCTGACCTGATTACATTAGTTTACTGTAGAAATCCTAATATTCCTTGATTGACATCAGTTAAATTACTCGTCTGTAGTATTAATCTGTATTCTATTATTCATCTAGGACATAAAAATTCTGAAATGCCCACTTAGCTTTTAAAAGGGAGAAAGAAAATTTAATACACATAACAGCTGAATTTGTCCCCACTTTATTAACACCATAAATTTGTGCTGTACATACCCTGCCTTCTGGATTCTTGTCTGGGTGATATTTCTGTGCCAGCCTGAAATAAGCTTTCCTGATCTTGCTTTCATCATGCCTATGAGAAAACCAGTCCCATTACATTGAGTAACAGAAAAAACAAACAGAAAAACAAGCCTGGATTCTGACAATAGTACTAAGAGTAACAACAATTAAGTGAAAACTACAAAGCTCTCATATTTCAATTTGAAAATCCTGCTTCATCAGCTGACACTGAACAGGGGTAATCATGTGGCCACAAAATAGAAAGAAATTTTAGAAAAAAAGTATTTTAGTACCTCTTGTACTGAATATACTAACCAGAAGGTGCTTGAAGTCCCTGAATCTTCTAAATGGAGAGTCTAAATGAGCTGTAAGTGGTAAAAGTTAGTAGCTCATGATTTGTAGTAAGTGCACTGTTCTTGAAGGATAAATACAAGTGCTGCCAGTTCTCTTCTAGAGACCTGAAGTCAGAAACCAGTGGCAAGATAGGAGGTAAAAAAATCCTAAGGATATTATCACCAAGAAAAAGGACGATATTTGGCAGGTAGAAGAAGGATGATTAGAGAAACCAAGTTCCACTTTGAACATACGCAAGTTCTGCCATATTTCTTTGCTCACTATGGTTGAGTCTAATGCTTGTCCTGTAAAACAGCCTAGTGAATGCTTTGAAGCAGAGCTCAAAGCATTTTTTCCCTAGTTTCAGTTTATCTGAACACTTTGCAATTATTCTCTCAAACACTGGAGTTGGATTTTCAAGCTTTGTTCCTTACATAACTGACTGGTACCACTAATTGGTTGCAAGTACTGAGATAAGAAACTTCAGTTTGTTCAGTGTATGGAGTTTATGTAAATGTAGTTATACAACTTTAAATACTGAAGACAACTTACTGGCCTTGTCCTTTGGGAAGGTTAAGGACTTCATAAGCATCATCTATTGACATGGTAGGTGGCTTCTTTTCTACCTCCTTCTTCCAAGCTTCTAGTGTATCTTTCAACAGTTTAACCTAAATAATTACAATTTATTAGCATTTCATTTATGCTGACACCAGTACACATCTTTATGAAGAAAGTGCTGCTTTATTAATGAATCCTTATCACCCTAAGTTCAAAGACCTAATCCTTTTACCTTTAGTAATTATGGTTGCCTCTCCAGTCAGGAAGCAATTAAGACTTTGCTTCACTGCAGTGCTATATTTTATTCAAGATAAGAGCACCTTAAGATTAAAATGTCGATTTAAGAGTCAGATTAGAAGAGGGAGAATCACTTAAATGATATGCAGTCCACATCTCAATACTACAAAGAACTGCAACAAAGCAGCATGAATAAGTAAAGCTGCTTAGACAGATCTAGACCATAGACTTGTACCAAAAAGATCTCACCAATTCAGCTAATGTACTGATACCAAGTTAGCTTAGTTTCTTGTCCAGCATGGACAAGTGAGAACCCAAAAGTGACGATTCCTCCCCCCACCCCAATCATTTGAGGTTCATTGAAACACTATCTGAAGTTTCTTGGATGCTTTATTTTGCTTTTTTAGTAGTCACCCCAAGGAGGATATACTTAAGATGTGGTTGCTATATAGCACAAAGACTATTCTGCTTCAAGATAAAAAAAAGTGTCTAGCATATTTTCTTATGAACTCAAAGTCAGGATCAATCAGTTACTTACAACAAACCTAGCATTTGGTTTCCTTAATTTTTGTTACAAATCCCACTTTTAGGATTCTGAAAGATCAAGTACTAAATGAATCCTAAAATACTTCTTACTTACTGGATCTTTAATTGGCCAGTCTGGAAATCTGAGTGTATCACAAAGATGCTTCAGGTAATAAATATTACAGAACAGCTCATTTTCCAGTTGCGGATAGTTGATAACTGGGATAGGACAGTATTGATAGAGTGCTCTTGTATTGCTTTGAAGACGAGGGGTGAAGTCAGCAAGATGAGCAGCAATCTTCTCTATCATAAGACGCCTAAAAGTTACAAAGTTTGGTTTAACACTTGCCAAGCAGTCCTCAATCCTCAGTGACTGTACCAGTGCGTTCAATGATTTCTTCTGAAAGAGATTTTCCTTAGTAGTTTCCCACATTTCAGAAGGGATTCAGAATAGGATTCAGTCCTATTCTGTTATAAAGCTATTTCAATGCCATGAAAATTAGTTTATTAAAAACAATGTAAAGCGACATTTTTCCCTCCCTCAACACCTCTTTTTGGGAGACCCTAAAAGTGTATTGTAGTATTAGAGGTATATCTCCTAGATAGATGCTGGTAATAAATGAGAACAGTAAGTATAAAGCAGTCCACATAGTGAAGGCTCCACTCATGAAAGGAACTTAATCAAGTATGATAGAGGCAGATGTAAAGCATGTTGTCATATTTTCAGGGATATATTCCCCTTCCTGCTGCCAATTCCACTCCCCCCTGCCCCTGTTATTTTTGATAGAAGCAGAGGGCAATGCAGGACATTACCCCTGCAGAAGGCAATCAGAGGGAAGTAATGAAACCAGGGAACCCAGGTATTTTCAGCATTCTCTAGAAATGTCAAAAACAAGACCTCTTCAGCACGAGATGTAGTTCAGGTTTATTTGTCCCTCTGACAGAAAACAGTTACCTCATTTCATTGCTCCAAATTGCTTCTGGAGTGTCAAATTCTCCAAGGAATATCTCAGAAAATTTTTCTGGTTCATAGTTTTCTAAATAGCACACCATTGCTTCAGGAAGAATATGTCCAAGTATACTTCTTTGAACTATATCTTGACCTTTTGTCTACAGAAGAGATCACATTGTCATCTCAAAGGTAATCTGAATTCAGTCTTGGCTAACCAACTTTAGATCTCAAGAACCCTCTCCCTTTTCCCTTATAGTTGTTAAATTCTAACTCTTGGGAACTTAGAAAAAGAACAAGCATCAAGTATTGTTAAAACAACTACAGGTGGTCTGCAAAACTATTTGGAAACGGAGGTAGTGACTTTTGCAATCTACTCACTTCTTCAGACTTGAAAGCTTGTTTTGTATGTGTGTATTTCAAAAACCTAGAACAGAAAACAGCAGTTATTTTCTGTTTAATTGATACTTAAGGCACCCTTGAAAGATAAGCAGACCAACATAGTCCATCTGGCAAGTCTCATACATTTACTTTGAGATAAAAGAGTAACAGCAACAATTGAATGAATCTCTGTACAAAGTCCATCAAATCCTTGGGAACTCCACCAAGTTAAGTACTCCCATGTTATAAATGTTGCCCTATGTTTATCATTTCAGTTTGAAAGTCTTGTTCCTGGAAAGCTTGTTTTCTCCACACACACACAAAAAAAAGAAGCTGACAGAGACACAATCAACCTTTCCCCACAAACCTCTCCCTGCACCGTTAGATCATCATTGCAAGCATGAAACAAGATGATCCTACGCGAACTGCTGACAGTCCTGTTACACTAGGGTCATCATGTAAACATGCCATCATTTCCCAATGCATTCTGCTATAGAAGAGACTTAACTGGAATTGTATGATAGCTTTTTATAAACTACTGAATTTAGAAGACTGGAATGAACTGCCACCTGCATGTGCAGTGCATCTGTGTCAGGCAGTACAGACTGATTTATTTGTTTTAGGCTTCAATACTAAAACAGGCTATTAGATTTTTCCACCACTTTGATAGCTGCTTACTGTCAAAAACTACATTACTGTATCAGTAGCCTATATTACTACTCTTTAGTGCCTGTAACAATTTGCTCTTCTACAATAAGCCATGCCTAGTTGCACTGTTAGAACTATATGATCAGTTCCCTCCTCCCTGGCAGGGTCATAAGCAATTCACTTTAGTGACTGACTAGACCATGTGGAGGCGATTCTTCTAGAGGGGGTTTAATCTCATGCTGGTTCTAGCAAGCCACACTCCCTGAAGCATTCAGAGCAGCAGTCTTGAGTATGACTGGTCAAGAGGTATTTTTAGCTATTCTTTTTCCTCACCTTGCAATAGGAAGTACATTGGAACCCGTGTACATCATGATAAAGAAGAATACTCCACTCAGATAAAAACGAGGTAACTGAGGGTTATCTTGCATGACATGAAACAGCAATATAGCGACTTTTTCCACAAGGATAGGATCAAATGTCAGTAATAGCTGAAATCAAACACAAGCATTTATATTAGCTGCTTGAGTAGTGCAAGTTACCTAGCCAAAATTGAAGTTTTAACTAATTCAGTATTGGGACAAGCCAGTAAACTTACAAGAATTTCCATTAAAGAATACTTCAGCCCAAAAATAACATGTTCAAATCACAGAATGTTTAAAGTTGGAATGGACCTCTGGAGGTCATCTGTCAAACCCCACTGCCCAAAAGCAGGGTCACCTAGAGCTGGTTGCCAAGGACCATGTCCAGATGGCTTTTCAGTATCTTCAAGGATAGATTTATTAGTGAGATATTGACTGAAACAACATGAAATTTGTAATACCCCCCAGTGAAATAAATAACTGCCTGTCCAGAGATCCGCAGGACATTAAGTGGGATGAACATATCAAATGACATCTGTAAAGTATTCACACAGGGAAGATGGTAGAGTAAGTCAGACTTTACTCATTTAGGTACATTTTTGAAGAGTTGCTTACCTGAGTGATATGAGGAAGGCAAGTACTATCTGACAATAGCCTTTTCACTCTAGGCAGAGGTCTTATAATAGCATTGTCTTGATCCCTTAAAAAAAATAAATAAAGTGGCACAGCAGTAAGCACACATGTGCCTTTCCTCTTTCAAGAATGAACAACTTTATTAAGCCATAAGTATCAGGCTATTGAGATTATATTCAGTGTCATTATTTTTTCGTAGCTTCAGAGTTTGTTGTTAGACCTGATAAGTGTGGTTTAGTGTCATGCATTAAAGCACTTTTTTTTAAAAAGTTAAACAAGAGCCTGCCTGCAAGAGTAAGACTATGCCGCTGTGCATTAGAAACATACATAGCTTGTGCATTCATTCTTGCAGTCCCTTTCACAATATTAGTATTGTCTCATTTACAAACTCTATTTGCCCACAGAATTAATTACTACTACATAAAACGCTCTTTATACAGTTCATTAGTGTACTACTTGGTTTCTAAGAAAAGCTTTAAGATGCATAAATTCATAAATTATATCTGCCAGAGAAAGTTAACCACTTCTGCTGAAAATTAGTGTTTACCTGCTGGGAAAATATCCACACATTGTGATGAGCATGTTGAGTACAAGTGTGGCAAGGTCAGTCTCATTCAACACAGGCTGGCCACTGGCAAGCAAGCACCACTTCAGCTGAGGGATGACCTGTAACGGTCGCCAGCCATCCATACCTTGAGCCCAGCAACGTGTTTTTGAAGTCAGCTTTCCACTGTTCCATAGTTCCTGCATCTATTGCAACATTAGAGATGAATTTAGTTGATTCAGCATTCAGAGCTACCTTTGCTCCTAAACACTAACACTCAAGACAAGCTTTTAACTGCTGTATGGCAGACTACTATAGTTGCATAAAAAAAAAAAAATCGAACTTATTTATAACTGTCAGGAAACATGAAGTAAAAGTTCATAGATTAACTGCAGCATAATTGAGACATGGAGGGGTAGGCAGCCTTACCAAAAAGGCTGTGGTTCTCGGCACAATATCAAGTCTTTTATCTAGCTTTAATCCTTATTTAAAGAGTTACTTTGAGAATATAGTTTAGCATTGTTTACAGTTTTCCCTCTCACTGTTTGAAACACACCCAGTCACCAGGATGGAAATAACCTGTCAAGTTTGAGAGTTTGAAGCTGACAAGTACCTCTTGAAAGCTGTAAGGACCACTCCTTTCTTTGTCAGCATTGCCAAAGTACCATTCTTTCTCGCTCTCCCTCTTCATATCAGGTGCCGCCTCAATCACATTGCTCTAGAAGTTGATTTTTATAAGAATAGCTTTAGCTTCAATGCAAATATCATATTTCTACAGGAAATGTGAGAAGGACTTTTTTAAAAAAAGAATTGTCCTTTTAGTAAAGCAACTATGAGTAGTAAGAAACAAAGGCCACATACCTGCAGAGGGACCGTAGCTCTACTTGTGTGAAGATGTGCCAGAGTAAGCAGATCTACAAGGATTCTAATACCATTTGAATCCATAAGGTCCTTCACATTTTTCTGTTAATGGATGAACTGAGTTAACACAAGCATTTTCTAGGTAAGAGTTTTTACAAGTATTGAACAGTTTTATTCAATTAAGAAGTGACCATGAGAAGTCAAATCATTCTCTGAAGTGACTAGAATGGTACAATTACCACAATATCTACACATTTCCTTCAGCTTTCTCACCAGTAAGTAACTACCACATCCCAGAAAGCTGTATCAAACATTGTTTTAAGACTTCCTCAAGACTTGAATTTTTGCTCAAGTTAACCCTGAAAGACTAGTTCAGACCATTTTATACAGCTGAAAGACCAATGAACTACTGTTAAGTGCACATGTCCACCTTACCTTATTAAGGATCAGCTTGTTGAGAAACAGTATCAGTCTGTCCCGCTCAAGCCTATCAGTGCACTATTGCAGCAGAAGAGGACAAATTAGTATTTGATAGCACATATTAGAAGTTACCTTCAAAAGTCAATACAGTTGCACCTGCAAAGACCCATTTACTTTTTCCATGCCCATGATAAAAACTGCTGACTATTGAGTGTCCAGTTTCATGCACAGCTAATAAACATAGCTTTCTGCCACTGAGGAAGAAAGGCCTCGTTGCCTTCCATCCCCTTTGTTGCTCTGGGTCTGACACTCAAACTCACTTTTCTGCTAAGTCTATTAGTTCTAAAGGGACAGTGTTTGGATTCCCCGGTGAGCTGGTTAACACAAATACAAGGGCAAGAGAATCAGACAGAATGGGTCTTTGATGTTACATCTCTGGTCTTGATGTTACTATCAAGACTCAAGGCAAAATAACAAGAGACTGCACTGGTTTGGTTTCACTTACAACAGCCATATCCAAAACCCATACTGATGTTACCAAAGAACCACTTCTTCAGACTGCATGGAAGTGTATTTTTGCAAGCTGTATCAGTTGTCAGACATAACTTAACAGACATTTAATAGGCAAAGTAGTTACCACTAAAAATCTAATCCATCATATGTGTCCATCTAAGGCTACCATTTCATTAAGTCTGGGGCTGTTACTACTACTCTTGAAGTCAGCATTTTGAAATAATGTGACATGGAACAAGGTTCTCATCTTAAAGCTTTATGCTTCTGCATTTTTCAAAAGCAAGCACAAGATTAATATCACACAAAGTTCCTTCACACTATTCCTGTACAGCCTGAAAACATATTAAGGACAACAAAATGCAGATATAAAGAGACTAGTTTGAAATACCTTTATGATCAGCAGTTTTTTTAGTGAAACTCCAACTGAATCAAGAGGAGATACTAGGAACACTTGGTGACAGCATGGGAAAAAAAAGTATTCATGCTGCAGCTTCATGTTCTGTAAAACCAAAACTTGGGTTTTACAGCAACCTGAAGGATCTGAACATAATGTTGAACTACTGTATGTTAACTACTCTATCAAGTAATTTTAAATAATTCTTACCCTTTCTAACATGCCAACAATGTACTTAGTATCAGAAAATGGTCCTATTTCTTCATAACACCTTCCATAAACAATGGCCAATGCTTGCAGACATAAGCATTTCATATGCACTTTTGGGGTAAGCAAGAAGCGATGGTAGAGTTCATTGAAGAATTCATATCTAAGAAAGAGTTGACATTTTAGTGAAGAAAACAGAGACCTTGGGAATGAGATAGGATTTTAATAATGTCTCACGATTTTTTGATTGCTCCACTCTCTTCAGTTTCATCTTCTTCCAGTAGCAATCGTAGATAATAATCCCCTATTTTTATTTCTTCAGAAAGGCACTCGTATTTTACCTGTAACACAGAATAAGTTACTTAACAGTATTGTTTCTCCTTCATTAAGTTGTTGCTTGCATAACAATACTGTACTTGCTTGCATCCATAAACTCAACAAGGTTAACAACCCCTCCTACAGTATGAGGAAGACTGAAATCTGCAAGTTTGCCGTTAAAGAAACACACATCTACAAAATATATGCCATAAGCTGTTGTTGGTCCCCAGAACAAGTGAAGTGTCTCACCTTACCGAAATCCCAGCTTCCAGCCTTGAAATAACTTGTACTTGTTTCTAGTATCAGCTGGTTTTATTAACTAAACTTGGATAATACATGATGTATTCAGTGACTCAAGCTTTAATAAGTAGTTATTCCATTGCAAGGTACTTCACTCAATGTTACTACAAGTATGAAACACAAGCATGACTTAATTACTAGTTATACTTGCTATTATGCTGGGTAATAAAAGCCTAGAGGCATCAGTATACACACCAAGAAGCTGAAGTGAAATTGCACAATAAAAGCCATCATTAACTTCAGAGCAACTACATTGTTTAACCATATGCCTCAACACTCAGTGGTTTTAAGCATTTGGCAAGCACCTCATTTAGAAGTACCTCTAAAAAACCACAAAAACCGCTCTCTACAGCGGTTTCTTATGTATAGTTTGCAGGCCACTGTCATGAGGCCACAAAGTTATCTCCAGATTTGACCACAGCACATGATACAAAGACATCCCACTAACTAGTACACTTCCAGAGCAATCTCAAGCCACCATCCCCCCCTTGGCAAAGTGGCAGGTTCCACAGCTGACAGAGAAGCCTTTGTCACCACTACAGTTAGTTCAAATACTTACAGCATAGCCTGATAAAGTATTATTTAAAATATTTAAAAGCAAATCTGAGACAGCAGCTGTTCAAAGATCATGTTACAGAAGCCCCCTCAAGCCAGTCCCAAAGTATCCTGGGCTGTAACTGCAAGAATGCTAGCAATACATTCCAGTAGCATAAGCCACACAGGAGTGCAAAGTGCAGGTGGGGAACCTGTATTACTAAGTTTCAAACCTGTACTTTTGATTCTGCCCCAGTTAGCACCTCTGAAGTACAGAGAGAGAGTTGGGATAGCAGACACTGCGGCAGCCAGAAGTCCTGTGCCTGACCCATACCTGAAGGAAACTAAAAGCTAAATGCCAGTACAAAAAAAATACCAATCCAAACTTAGCTATTTACTGCATCAAGGGAAGAAGTAATCTGTAGCTGTGTGATAGGGATAAGTTGCATACATAAAATAGTTCTTTCTCCTAAAGCATTAGCCTGATGTCTTGCAATTCTTTCTGATTTGCCAGAGTAATCAACTGAGAATTCCTCAAAAGCAGCAGTTTACTCGTTTCACTAGTAGTCCTCTGCTCAAATTTCAACTAAAAAGCTGTACTGTGACAAGGGTGGCACTGGGAATATCTAAGAATATCTTACAGTTGAATTCAAGTGTGGCCTTGCTTTGCTTTAGCATTACACATTAATTAAAACTATGTGGAACCATAACAATACTGGAGATAAGAGTAGAGTACAGAAAGTGTTTATTAGCACATTACTTGAAAACATCTTGCAAGTTGTTTTGAGAAAGCCAGTTAGGACCACATCAATTGCTTTGCAAAAGCCTGAAAGGCTATTTTGACTTTAGGTACTGCTGTTCCTAGAATGTGAAAACAGTATCCTCAATCTGTAATTTACAGAGCAGCATGGGTTTAGCCACATAACCCATTCATGGTTTGGCAACCCAGTATTTAACAGCCTTAGGATCGCTGAGACATGATGGAAATAAAGGCAAGGAACTTGCTATCAGGAAGAAGTGGCTTGTGAAAGCACCCAAAACAAGTCTGATGGAGCACATTCAAGAATAAGTATGACTTATCTTGACAACAATGTAACATGAACTCTTCTCTTTTCATCTTAACAGACATCAAGGGTTCTGATCAATGTTTCATCTCTACAGTGTCATTTGCCAGTTTCAGTTTTGCAGTGACACTGGACAATAGTACCTGTTCACAGCCTCAAGCCTTAGCAGTTTATTCCATAATCCCAAAAGAATTCTAGTTTGCAGTCAGGGATTGTCAACACAAGATTCACTCACGTAGTTAGAGACAGAAAAGTGACATTTTAAGTAGACATATTTTACACCTGCAGTTTCTCCTACAGTGGGTCATTTACCTCAAACTCCTGATGGTTCCATGAGATAACATTAGCACTACCAAGTTCCCTGTCAATATTGAATGCTCTCATCTCAGACTCAAGAGTATCTCTCAGTTCTTCCCGTGTTTTGAAGTTCCAAATCAAGTTTGATCTAGCATGATCCTGAAGAAATCTAAGAAAGAAGTTACATAGTTTAAACCCCTCAAAACATTATCTGAAAACCAGACAAGACTCAGCTGGCAAGCCAGAGAAGATTAGCATCAGTGGACCTTAATTAGAAGGCACTGAGTAGTGGTCTCTAGTTTGTTACAGTAGTTATGGCTGTTCACTTGTATAGTGTTTTCATAGTCATGGAGGCCAGCCTAGACTAAAGCATGCCTGTCTGTCATCCCTTTTGATTCAATTTGGTCATCCCTTTTGGCTCTATTTGGTATCTGCATATAGTTGATGACCAGGAGACGTGCTGGCTATTCATATCTGCCAGTAAGGGCTACAAGTGAACAATAACACAGGGCAGCAGACATACACATACCAAGTGTATACTTTAAACAAAAAACATAGTTCATGCAGGAAAACAGAAGTTGATGTCTCCAATGTCACAAGACAGCCAGTGGACATTCTTCAGTGGCAGTTACAAAACAGCCTTTGGATCTACAGACTGGCTGAGAGCAGCACTTTAATACTCAAAATTTAGGAGTATGTGAGTCTTCCTTTCATGCAACACTTGTGCAGAACAGACTGTATTTGACCTTTAGAAACATTAAGCACCAAATCAAACAGTTACGTTTACGGAATGTCCCCAAGCTTGCTTTCACAGAGTTTGTTGAACAGTCAAGCTTTCTTTATTAGTCCATTTAGCATAACAACCCTAGCCAAAGTAAAGTGATAGTATCTGTTTCAGATGGAGGCCCCTCCCTTGTAAACTTGACATTTGTAAGAACTCACAAGTAAGCAAGCTGCATTTAGGACCTGTGGCATTATTTGAAATCCAGTATCCATGTGTTTTCTCTTTGCCTGCCTTAAGCTTATTTTTATTCCAATTCAAGTTGAAACATCTTGAGTAGCTTACAGGTTGATGCACTAACACACTGCAATGATTTTCAGTGCTACTTTGCTTAGCCTTCAACATCATGCAGATCCGCACTTGCAGTTTGTTATTCACTCTTCTTTTTGATTCAAGGGAAAAAGGATGTGGTTTGATAACATTTGAGAAGCTTTCCGAATTCCCCCCTTTCCTAAACACAACCTAAATCCTTCAGTATACCTTAGGATTTCATTTTTCGTAAGTTCCTGTTACAAAGCATTTGCGCTGTTTCAAGGCAGGCAGAGACTGGAATCAAGCCACAGCAACTCAGAAGGTATTAACAAAAATATCTAGTGAGGTAATAACTTGTATCCAAGACCACCATATTAATCTTAGTATTTTACCTGTAATAGAAGAGATCCCAGTTTGCTTCTATTTTTATTCTTTGGCGTCGTTTCCTTAATATCACTGGCTTTTGAATAATGTTCTGCAAAAGAGACAAATTTAAGAAGTTAATAGAAATGGATACTCCCCATTTTCCCCTTTTAAAATAAAAAGCTGGGTTTTTTTACTCCTTCCAAAGCCACACTAAGTTAAGTCTCATTAATAAGGTCTCCTTTTCTAGCAAGTAGTAGCAACAGACTTTCACAAGTGTTATTTACACCAAGTTAAATCACACCAGAGAAACTTTCAGCTGTTTAACAAGTCATTCATTTAGAAGCAAGTTACCCGAGAAAAGCTTAGTTCCCATCACCATAAGCACTCATCAGCTCCAAAGCTGATGGAGGGGGAAGACCCACAACAAGAATGCTTTGCTCTTGAAAGGAAGTAACTAGAGCAAGTCACAGAAATAAGTCACAAATCTGACTTGGCCACTGAAAGGTTCCCTAGTTTGATCAAGCATGAAATCAATGTTACACTCTACACAAGGTACCACATGCAAGCAGCAGTCTGAGCAACATAATCCACACAAGTGGCAGAGACACACAGACTCACCATATTGTTTCTGTCCTGATTGTGGTGGAAAGTTGGAAGAAAAAGAAAAGGTACATTTAACAAGCCACAGACACTGAAGTAATTCAAAGTGGTAATACCAAACTTGCTACTACCTTTTCCAAGCTATACTTGCATGTATTTACTGTGAAATTAAACAACTCATAACTCCAGACAGAAAAATTATTGTTTAAACTCAGTATCCAAACAAGATGTTTAAAGTGCAGTTTGCCCTTCCACCACCATTTTCCACATTTCTCCATTAATACTTTGCTTTAGACGTAGTTCACCATTATTCCAGAAGTATTACCTGTCAAAATTCTGCACCACACTCTACATCAAACTTGAGCTAGATTTTACCAAGTTAAGGTTTCCCCAAATTGAAGTTTATTGTTGCATCAGATCAAGTACAAATACAGGCATTTTCAATGCTCTGCATTGCTCTTTTCATCCTTCCTTGCATATATAATAGCTTGTTTCATTTCCAGAATGCATAAAAACAAGCTTAGTCAGCAGACTAAAGAAAGTTAAGGGAAACGCCTCGTAACTCAAAGAGTTTGTCATACAGAACATGACAATAAAATTAAAGGAAAAAGGAAACTAACAGTAAGCAGTGCTTGAGCTATCCTCCTATAATATCAGATCAAAACAGTCACTTATCACTTCCGTTTTAACCATGGTTTTATGTATAGTCTTATGTTGCAATTTAAGGACTGAGATACCTATATTCAAGGTAATACAAGAACATACAAGGTTCTACAAGGAACCTTCTTCAAGCAGGTTCCATAACTAAAATACCACTAGCATAAAGCACATCATTTCAGATGCAAAGAATATTCATAGTTTCTTCCAAATCTAGTTTAAAAACTGCTTTTGCCACATTTCAAGGAATTTCTTGTTCTTCTGTATAATTATCTTGGAACAAATGCACATAAGCTGCAGTCCAGCTTGATAAGGTTGACTAAAGCAAGAACAAGCTAAAGCCCAATACATATGCTGAAGGAATCCATTTGCCTGCTTTACACTCTGCCTGGAACCTATTTCTAAGCCAAGATGAAGAGTAGTAAGAGGCAGAGAAGTTTGCTAAAAGGAAGCAGAACTATGAAGTTTCTCACATTCCTACACTTCTATTACTGTCAGACTTCCCTCTCATTTCATAGGAGTTGTAGGTGTTCCCCTCTACACTTAGTCAAGTTGCTGTAACAAAGAGTTTCAAATACTTTTACCTCTTTTTGAGCTATGCCCATTCTATCTCTCCAGTGCATCAAGACTAGATCCACCTTTTCTTTGGCAAATTTTTCAACTTCCTTCGCAGCTTTCCCAGCCAGTCTCTGCCACTCCGGCACTTTATTAAACTTGCCATACTGATCCTGCAGAATAAACGCTATTAGTTATTTGCAGTTGCAGGTCTATCAACATGTTTGATGCAGGTCAATGCAACAGTCAAGTGTCTGTATCAGAGAAGTCACTAAGACTGTACATCTATATAATGGAAGAGGTTAAGACAGCTACGTTTACTTACAGTTGCAATTTTTAAGTTGTCTCTAATATGCATCCTATCAGCATCTTTTTCAGGAACAGGATCAGCACTGTCAAGGTATGCCAGCAAACCTGGTGGCTAAAAAAATTTAAAACCAGTGTAAACACACATGTGGCTGATAGAACAGAAACTATCACATCAGTTAACAAGATCATTTCTTTGAGATTTCAAAACAGAATTTATATTCTACTCTAAAGCAAGTATGTAAAAGCTACAGCAGCTTTTTGCTTTTATTAATGAAATGCCACCATCCTCAACAGAACCATTCAATAAAGGCACATAATAGCTTCAGTACAGCAGAGCTCTTGCATATATCCCATTTCTTAAAGGAGCACTTAATGAAGCTAAGGACTGCAGGAAGAAAAGAGTTGATCCCTGTTGTGGTTTAACCTCAGCCGGCAACTGAGCACCACACAGCTGCTTGCTCACTCTCCCCACCCCCCTGGTGGGATGGGGGAGAGAATCAGAAGAGTAAGAGTGAGAAAACTTGTGGGTTGAGATGAGAACAGTTTAATAATTGAAATAAAATAGTAATAACAACAACAATTATAAAAGAATATACAAAGCAAGTGATGCACAGTGCAATTGCTCACCACCCGCTGACCGATACCCAGCCAGTCCCCAAGCAGTGGTCACCACTCCCCAGCCATCTCCTCCCAGTTTATATACTGAGCATGATGTCACATGGTATGGAATGTCCCTTCGGCCAGTTTGGGTCAGCTGTCCTGGCTGCACCCCCTCCTCCCAGCTTCTTGCTGGCAGGGCATGAGAAGCTGAAAAGCCCTTGACTAGTGTAAGCACTACTTAGCAACAACTAAACAGTGTTATCACATTATTCTCATACCAAATCCAAAACACAGCACTGTACCAGCTACTAGGAAGGAAATTAACTCTATCCCAGCCGAAACCAGGACAATCCCACTGCAATATTGTGGGGGATGAATACTCTTAACACTAGAATCCATCCATATCCTGATACAGATAGAATGTTGCATGCAACATTAGAGATGAGATAGTCTCATTTGACTAAGCCTTCTGGAAGATAGTGACCAATACCAAGATGGTTTGCTCTGCCAAAAATGAAGGAATTGCTATTTTGAATTTGAAAGTTGGTATTTTTCCAGATTTAGTAATTCCTTACAACACTATTCTTTGAACCAGTTTCACTGAAGTAACATAAGCAAGAACCTTTCAGGAGCCTGTAAGGGTGAAAGAACATGGGAAGTATCAGCTAATATAAATTTAGCTATGTTATAAACAAAGTTGGACAGGCATGAAAGCATAGACAGAACTGTTGCCTGAATTTCTTACTGGCACTAAGCATTAGAGACTATATTTACTATGTCTCCCACGTTTTTGTCCCTGTAATAAAGAGAAAAGTAAGACACCTTATTTTTAAGTTGTGTGTCATACACCATTTTTAAAAGTGGCAGGAATTTAACAGAATACTTTAACAATCCAAAATGTTTTGTACTAGCCATCAATATCCTTCAAACAGCAGATGCCAGACTGCTGATCTCCCAGGCTAGATTTCCCCTTTGGAGGGGAAATGGAATGTGTTTACTATATAGACATCCCAAGTTTTCTAATACTACAGGCTTTCAGATTTTATTCAAAAAAAACCCATTTTTACTCACCAAAATACGTTTCAACAAGTTCATAGCAGTTTTGTTCTCAGCTGTCCAGAGGCCAACCAAATGTCTACTTAACTGCCTGAAAAAGCCATTGAAATTAACAAACTGCAAGTTAGTATTTTAAACAGATTTTTAAACCACTAAACTGACACCCTTACCATGCTGGTGAAATGAAGATGAGCAAGAGCTTCGTGCTCTTGAGTGAGAGCACAAAGCATTATACTGTTCCAGTTCAAGTATACACTTAGCATGCTTTGAAGTGTTGCCTTTAAGAAGTTCCAGTGAAGTTAGTGGAACAGTAGCAGCACATGCTTTTTGATCTAGACCTCAAAAGAACACTTGAGCAATAGAGCAGAAACTAAACATCTAATGACCAAGTATAAGTTTATCCAGTCAATCTTAAGTTACAGTTAAAGTTAAGAGTCTAGAAGCCATCAAGAACTGTTAACTGCTTACTTGAAGCTCTTAATACCAGTTATTGGCTAAGAAAACCTTTCTGGGAGCCTGCCTTCTATGCCAACTGACACTTTATGCCAACATTTGTCACTAGGGTTCTACTGCATTGAACTGAAGCATTGCTTACAAGCAAGTCATAAGCAGGAGCTCCAAACAGAACTAGTATGACAGAAGGTTTCACACTAGCTCTCTTCCTGAATGACATACAGCGGCAACAAGATCCACTTGTTTCTACATTGCTTAGCAACTCTTTAAGTGCTTCAGGAACATGCAGTTAAAATTTCTATAATCTTGTATTTGGGTGGAAACAATTGAATTATCACTCATCCTCCTCAGCATGCCCTCAGGCCCAGTCTCAGAGCTCAGAAGTTCTACTGACTGCTGAATTCATGGAATGATTTCTGTATGAGGAGACTTCTCTCTCACATGGGATGGGTGACCCTAACTGCATACAAGATATCTGAGGTGTGCCCACCAGGAGTTATACAGTTGTATAATAAAGTTGAACCTTTTTACATGTTCCAGACATTCTACTTGCCTTTTCTTTTCCTGAATGTTTTCAGAAAAAAAACTAAAAATCAAAACTTGAACCTTTAATGAGTAACCAACCCAAGTCCCATTTTGGAAAAAAATAATCAAAGGTTTATTAAGTGGCTGCAGTCTCAGCTGAAGCTTGCTCTACTTCAGCACACCAGCTACTGAAGGAAGTTTTCTCCTAAAGAACTGCAAGTTTTCTTCCCTGATCTCCCGATGTTTCTAATGTTAGACAGGCTATTAGACTAAAAAACATAATATATCAAGTGAGACTGACATACCTATTTGTAAGCATCCTCTGATCTGTGCTTATTGTAAACATAGCAGTGTGCAAGTGACGAGGTAAGGCACCTTCACTGAGGGCAAGATCTTGCATTTTGGTAGCAATCTCTTTGTCTCCTTCCTTTGGAAACAGGGCAAGATGATTACTAAAGAAAGAATCTTAGTTAAGCTGCTTTTATCTCAGTCTACAGTTCCAAGGCCTTCTTGACCATCAGTTATGTCAACTAACATTCAAAAGCCAGAAGCTATAGTATGGTGGGCTTTAAGTGCAAGTTCTCAACAGCAACTGATCAAAGTTCTAGTAAAGCCATGGACCAGATAATTGGTAGTTATATCTGAGGACAGTAACTGAGTAGGGCAAGATGCATGTCTCCCATCATAGATCAGGAGGTTGGTAGTACATTTACAAGTACCACTTCCACACTGCAACTGTAAATTTAGGGTTAAACAAAGAATGACAGCCACAAGTAATTGCTTGTTGCTTGACTTTGGTCAACAGTAACCATTTAAGAATAACTGGTGCTGTTCAGTTTAGACAGCCACACAGGTAAGACTGTCACTCAGTTGAGATACTGGTTGCAATGAATAATTAAGAAAAAGCTTTCACTGCATTTTTACTTGCCCATGTCCCACTATAGTTCAAATGACATGAGTTGTAATAACCAGCATAGCAAATTTCAGCTAGTGCTATCAGGTATATCAATGGAAACTTGCAGATTTAAAATACCTCTATTTCAAGTGTTCATTCACTTCCATTCCAAGAAAGTACAGATGCATAAGCCATTGTGATACAATGAGGCACTAACTTTAGCCCTGAATTTCAACACAGGAAGTGTCGAGAGTCAGTTAGCAAGGTCACCCTGCAACAATCATAAGCAGCCCTTGAGAAGTATGGACTTGGCCCATACATCATGTGTTATGGAAACTCAAAGCCGAATCATCCTTTGTTGAAGCAGAAAGAGCAAGAACAGAGGCTGACATTACTAGTCTGCTCTGGGACACTACTGCTTGCTAATCCCACTCCCATTCCATCTGGCAATGCATCCCAGGAAATATGGCCTCTCCTCCTTGAGAGACCCTCTTTAACATGCAGAAGTCTGGTGGCTCTGAGATGTGTGACTGAGCTACAAACAACATTAACAGCCAAACCTTGACTGCAGTATGAAAACATGCAAGGCACTACCTAATGTCCCAACTCACATGCCTTCCAAACCCCCAAGTGTAAGACAAAGCAAGTTGCTATATTAAACCGCTCACAATTAAGCAGGTGTTCTGTTCCTCACCTTTCCCCCTTCCCCCCGCCCCAGGAGAAGCTAATATAACAAACTTCTACTATTGGTAAGCAATTGCACTTCTGAAATAGACAATACATATTTAGTATGCTAATCCAGGTAACATTGATACAAATCTCACCTCTATTATTGCCTTCATTACCAAACCTGCTCCTTTCACAATTGCCATAGAAGGGTGCTAAAATAGAATGTTGACAAAATAATTATCCAAGTGCAAAATTTGAAGATTAGATCATCTGTGATTCAGTTTCCTTAACTCATCTACATGGTTGTTCTACTTCCAGTTCTGGGCAAAAGTTAATCTTTCAGTTTTGTGAAAGCTAGCCCCAGAAAGAGTTCCTATCCTATACCTTTAAACAAGAATCTCTCATGCAACTATCAGATGACTTCTTGGCACTGAACAGCAGTATATACCAGAGAGTAATGCTGGGGAAACTGACACAAGCTGACACTAACCAAGAAGCAGAAGAGCATACTGTTTTTACAGAAAGCAAGCACTGACATTTTAGCTAAAAATCCTAGAGCTTTTTACAGGTTTACAAAAGAAGAGTAACATCCTCTTCACTAGTAACTCTTAACTCTCATTTACTGAGAGAGAAACAAAAGGTGGCAGATTCTCCAAAGAGAAGAAGATCTGTGCATCTGCTGAATCTAGCTTAACATTTAACTGCTATTTTAAAGTGTTTCTAGAAACAAGTCTTGGGCAGTCTAGTCTACAATGATTTGGCATATCATTCACTATAGAATAACCACCTTAATCTGATATCTGAAGGTAAAGCAATAGGTCACTAAAAAACCCACCAAGGTAGAAAAGGTTTAGGCACATTAACTAGCTGAACAGTAGACAAATTTGTCTTTCAGGAAAACAAGAAAAAGTTCACGTTCACTGACTACCTAAGGCCTCTGATAATAAAAAAAGAAATATTACCTGAAAGAGCTTAAATAGTGTTCTTCCATTAGATGCCACCATTTCCAACAACATGTCAAACTGCTGCCCCTCAGTAGTCTCACTATACGGAGCACACAGGGCAAATGTCAGGAAGTCCAGAAGCGAACTAATTACTAGGGCACCTGTCCCATGATCCTGAAATTAGGAAAACAGATATGTAATACAGACACATTGTTTCTCTCCTGCCCAAGAGCATTCATGCAAGTTTTATTCAGTACTCATGATGCTGAAGGTGCTCTTCCCTGAAGAGCACCATACCATGAAATAGTCCGCAAACAAAAATTACAAGTTTAAAATACGCCATTTTTCCGAGTATGGCAATACTCTGGTAAAGTATTAGCTCCTAGAGCATATCAGAAACTCCTGACCTCATACACTGCAAGTTACTTTTTCTAGTTTTAATCCCATAAGTACCAGTTTACACCATCCTTTTAGTTAAAAGGAACACCCAGTTTCCATATTGTCATGCAACAAATGTTTGCATGTTTAAGTTTTGCAGATAGACAGCTACATTCTAACCTGCCAAGATCCAAACCTATTTAGAACAAGCTTCCATGCCAGACATAGCTGTATTTTCTGCATTTCAACTGCAGTTACAAATACATCCAAAGATATATCCAAGTATGACAGAAGCGTTTTCATAGCTGCTTTAAGTGCCTTTCCTAATTGTATCTCTTTTCAAAATTTGACTTACCACATGGGAATTGAATTTCTCTAGTAGATTTTCTAGAAACTTCTTTGAAGAAAGAAGGGAAGCTTTGTTCAACTGCTCCTGCCTCAAGTCGTAGTCATCATGCATGGGCTATAAAAAGAAGTATTCACTATGCAGTCACATCTCAACCCTCAGTTCTTAACAGCTGTAGTCCAAAAGCCACACTCTGAACCCATAAAAAGCACATCCTACTTCAAGTT